CTATCTATCTATCTATCTATCTATCTATCTATCTATCTATCTATCTATCTATCACCTGCAATCTTCTTAGACCCAAAGAGCCGCTATGTACCAAGGATGGGACAAGTATATTTATCATAAAGTTAATTTCATGCCCTTGCAAGGTGCCAGGCTGCTATCTCTGGGGAATGGAATCTTCTATTTATCCACAGAGCAGGTGGCAGTAATGAAACGTGTGCTTTCAACCCACAAGCCCTGATTCAGCCAGTCTCTCCAGAAAGCTTGGAAACCTCTTAGAATTTGGCCCAAATTTTGGGTTCAAACCCCAAACTAAGGAAGGTCTGTTAGATGCACACACTTCTGGTACTGCAGCTCTATACACACAACTATTATTTTACACTATCGCTTTGGTGTAAAAAGACTGCAACTCCTGCTAAAATAATTGAGAGTTGCACCTATTTACACAGGGCTTAACTTGGCCCAACATAGCCTGTAAACAGCAAAAGAGCATGGAAAAGATGTCCACAGCTTTCCATTGGCCCGTCTCCTATGCGTGCCCTTTACCTATGGATAGAGGTGGGAGAGGGTTCCTGATTGGAGCTGGGGAAATAGAGGAAAGATTTTTTCCTATTTATCTGCTCAAACTCAGCAACAATTGGTGATTTAGAAGCATGCATGACTTTTTCACGGTCACTTCCTGTGAAAGCTCAAGCTTTCCCAATGCTCAAAAAAAGGGAATGTTTCATGCAAATAGTCACCCGACCAGAATTGAAAATCATTTATCTGCTTGCAAAATGTGCAATTCGCACTGCTCCCTTGAGTCAGGCCTTGTCTACATCCAGAAGTGGGGCCAATTTCAGTCAAATCGGTTTTAAATCATCATTTTTCTATTTTCCTAGCGGCAAGGAGTCCTAGCCATGGACCAGCACACCACTGTGCTAGGCGCTGTACAAACACAGAACAAAAAGACAGTCTCTGCCCCCAGGAGATTACAATCGAAGTATAAAACATGAGACAACAGATGGATACAGACAGATGGGGGAGCACATGGAAAAATCACTCCCTTTAAATAGGTGCAAATTTGTTATGTAAGTGTCAGAGTGATTTGTATATCCATTTGTGACATTCACCCTTGGAATGTTATGTGGACCAACAACCATATCCTGAAGAAATTTGCAAACGATTTGGGATAAATCTGATTATTTTGTGATCATCCAGCTACGAGTGGTGGGGGTGGTGGCGAGTTCAAATCCATCAGTTCAGTTATTTGTTGTAAATTATTCATTCAGCTCATCTTACAAAATATGGGTGGGGTTTGCACTGGTTTAACTGTGCTCCTCTCCCGTCAGCGGTAAAACTCCCATTGTTTTCAGTGGGAGCAGAGTTAGACCAATGCCAAATGCTTTTGAAAATTCCATCCTACATATCTGACTGCATTGCCTAACTGTGTTGCTGCACTGGCCAGACGGGAGACATCTCCAGCTCTTTGTAGATTATAAGAGTTATACACCATCAGTTTGTAAGAAAATACACACTTGTTGGTCTCCCACACCTTGCTGTGCAGCACACTGTTCCTGATCAGTTTTCCACCTCAGTTTTTACAACCCCATGAAAACTGTTCCACTTGAAGTCATAACCCTCTGAGCCCCAGAAGGATGAAGTCAGGGGCAGAAAAAAGGAATGCAAATGCAGTGGATAGAAAAGAATATGGATGAGCTGGAGTCATGTAGGATCTATCTACTTATAAAGCCTCTCTTATCATCACATCTGAGCTCCTCACAGTGTATTTATCCTCACAACACTTCCAGGATGTAGGTGTAACCCACACATCTCCTAGGTGTGGTGCTCGGTCCCATCAAGTGGCCCTAAGGCCACTTAGAAACAGATTAGTGAGTCTGCTCTACTGCCTTAGCTAACAGCCACATGGCTTTTAGCTCATGCATTTAGCTTCAGAGGTCCCAGGTTTGATCCCACCCTGGGGTCTAACAGCCTTACAAAGCGAAGTGTTATTATCCCTATTTTAGGAGCAGAGAGTGCTAAGGGATTTGCCTATGAGAAATCTGTGGCAGAGAAGGGACTTGACCCAAGGTCTCCCAAGTCTCAAACTACTGGGCTCAACACTGGATCACCCTTCCTCTCGGGGTAATGATATAGCTCCTTTCAAAGAGTAGTCCATGAGGCTATTCACTATCCCTGTTTGGAAGCCCACTGCAGGAGCTTACTAAAGCAAAATGGGCTATTAAAAGAAGAGCAGGCCCTCCCAGGGTAGGGCGGTGCTGGGGGGGGACAGGACCAAAGAGGTTTAACAAAATCCTGCTACCTTTGAACACAGGGTTATTCGCACCATGCTGGCTTTTGAGCAGCCATAGTCAGTGAATGTCTCTCTCATATTTTCTCTCTTTCAACAAATTCCCCGCCGGATCCAGAGGAACACAGGACTTGCCAGCCTGGCTCAGAGCCGTTCAATATCCTGGCTCTGATGGTGGTGCACCCCAGTTTCTTTGGAGGAAGGTGCAAGAACTCCAAAATGGAAAATTATGGAATAATCTCCCCATAACTCCATCACTTAGTAGTTGGCTTAGTCACTGAAGAGAGTCTGTATTTTTTTTTAACCATATAGCCATGGATGTTCCTATTATCTATATAAATATGCAGGTCTTTGTTGACTCCTACTAAGTTCTTCCCCTCAATGATACCTTGAGGCAGAGGGATCCACAGGCTAATTTTGGTTGGCGTCAAACAATATTTCATGAGGTGAGTTTTGATTTGCCTTTCACTCCCTTTTGTTCCTCCTCTTCCTCTCTCTCTCTCTTTCCCTTTCTCCTCTCTCTTCCTCTTCCCCTCTGTTTATCATCCAAGTGCAGCATGAGATGTTCAAAACTCACCACAGCCTGTTTTCCTCCCCTTCGCCCCCCCGCAAGTAAACATTGCACCAGCATCAGAGGGGTACTTACTTTCCCTGAGGTAACTGAGGTGAGACAACAGAACTTCTGTGTTGTAAAGGGAGGTGGCTCGGAGGAAATCTTCTTTGTTCATTTTGCACAGTTCCTTTCCGTCCATGTTCTGGAAGAGGGATGTGTCAATCTCCATTAATCCATACTCCTTTATAGCCCACTCCAGCCACTGGCGCACGTGTTCCTGGGTCCACAAGGTGGGATCTGGCAGAAGAAGAGACAGCTGGTAAATACCAGGCCCAAAGGGACAGCCTGTCAAAGGAGTGTCACGCTATCAGTCAGTTAGCCCATTAATAATATTAGTAATAGAGCACATTTCATCTACACATCTCAAAGGTGGGAAAGTATAATTAACTCTGGTTTACACATGGGGAAATTGAGGTACAGGGCAGCAAGGGACTCATCCCTAGTGAGATAATGAATCAATAGCAGAGCCAGGAGTAGCATCCAACTCACTTGGTTTGCACTCAGATGCACTATCTCCCCGGCCACCTTTGTAATAGCTGATGTATGACTCACCTCTTTGAATAAAAAGCTCATCCCTTTGAAGGATGTACTTGTCACACTGTTAGGTGCCTTTAAGCTGCACCGCTATAGCAGGGATATGGAAGTCACCCAGCCTGTCCTGAGTGCATTACAAACTCCTAACAGATGGCCTTTTAAACTTTGAGAAGGGTGGTTATTATGGTCAGCAAAGGGAGTCTAAAAAATTCTTGCCTTAACAGCTCTGTTAACCATATATCTCTGAGTCACGTTTGCTGACTCAGCTGACAAACACAAGTTTTCAACCCCATTAGCCTTGCAAAAGCAACATAGCTATTGGAGGGTGAGCTGGATTCTATACTGTCTCGTGCATCGTTGTCAATTGTCAACGAAGGTCCAGTTGCAGAATTGTTATTAATGGCAACGATGGAAGAGACGGATGGCATTCAGCTGGAGGTGTCAGCACCCATGTTGAGAGTTCGCTGCACCGGCAGTTACAAATGGAAATCATCCTTTGAGTTTTAAGATGATGGGTTGGATCAGAAAGTTCCAGAGAGAATTAAGTATGCCAAGTCTTGATACCGTTTATACAGAATCATTTTCAGAGCCTGTCTCCACTGTCAGATCCTTCCTGTGCTGTTTTTCTCATGTTCCCTCATCTGGAAATTTGAGCCACAAATTAGGTTCTCTTGCAAAATTACTTGAATTTAGGGAGTGGTCTGTGCCCAGGCTCTGGGTCCTATCACCCTGGAACTTTGGATCTAGACCTGTCTTTACATCTGCCACCTCTCTCTATGAGGGACTCTATTCAAATACTCAAGAACTTTGGCAGAGTTAGGCTATAGACTAGAACTTGATTGCATGACCATATCTCAGCTGGCAATTCCTGTTTTTGATGAGACTGGAAGTATCCAGCATCACAGTTTCCTGCCACTTCAGTTTCTGGTCCCTTCACACTAGAATATCCAGAGATGTGGGGCACAAATCATGACTGGGTGTTTAGCATAGCTTGGGGGATGGGATTGGCTGGCAGCCCGTGCCACCCAAGTATCCCCTTATACAGAGGGCATCATCTAGTGGCTGCATCTGCTGGGTTTCAGGGCTGCTTCATACCAGAGTGAAATGGCAATGGAAAATCACTCCAGAAAATACTAAAAATACATAGTGAGATTTACTTACCTACTTCCTAATAGCACCTGAGCTCTATAAAATTGAATTTTAACCATATAAGTTACAATCCTTCACTGTTAATTTACTTTTTGCATTTCTTCTGAGTTTAGGCAATGAAAATACCCTGATCAGCTGCACTTCTGTTTCCATCCAGTTTCTTGCCATTTCACTTTCAAGTTCTGGAGAAAGTTGGCCTTTCGGTTGTAAATATTGAAGGGGAATGTTTAGTTAGTTAGTTTTGTAAGATCCCAACATTTAGGGCCCAGGTTAACCTGACAGAATCCCTGAAACATTTTTCTAAATCTCAGGCATGTTCATTAACAATGTTGGGAGAAGATTCTGGAGAGTTCCTTTGGGTCATACATCACCCATTCTGGTCTTTCTGTCCCTATTAAACACATCAAACTTCAATGTCAAAAAGTCCCTGAAAAACTGCCTTCATAGCACATTAGCTAGAGTTTACTATCATTGCTGTGTCAGCTCTTAGGTAATTGTATTCTTGCCTCTCTCCACTACAGTGCGCTATAAATATTAACTCCGGATTGTACTAAGCGCTTCCAAATGCACTTCTTGGATGAATTGGGCCAAGTCTTTTCCAAATGGAGATCTGGCCCAATGATTAACTAGCCATCTAGTTTATTCCTGATTGACAAAGGCCTGCTGTTTTTGCAAGGGTCTCTTGGTTTTGATTTGTGGAGGCCTGAAAGTGACAAATCCCCACTTTCACTTTCCTTCCCAAAGGAGGAGACGACATTAAACTACCTCTTCCTCTAATGCTTCTAAAATCCTTCCTTTCCATTTCATCCTCACTGCTAAGGCCTTTGTTCACCTTTATGTAATGCACAGATAGCATAATGATGGGCTCTATAATTCTCCCTTCTCAGCTACTGCGGCCTTCTCTGCCCTCCAGTCAATGTTGATGCTGAAAACATGTCCCTTTCCATCATTCTACTTAGGTCATTCGCCTTTCTGAGGGTAAAATTCACCCCATGCAGGGGCCTTAACTGGCCTTAAACGGGACCTTGAGTACAGGGGTCAATCTTTTATTGGCTTCCCCTCTCTTACTGCATTCAGTTCAAACATCTTGTCCTTATTCCAAATGGTAAACAAATGCATTGGAATTGTCATCTGTTCATGATCAGTTCATGAACTGAAACCAGAGCTAAATGTGACAAATACACCTCTTTCTGCCGATAAATTGGAGAGAGTTCCGAGAAGAGCCACGAGAATGCTTAAAGAATTGGGGAACATGCCTTACAGTGACAAACCCCAGGAGCTCAATCTGTTTAGCTTAACAAAGAGAAGGTTAAGGGATGACTTGATCACTGTTTATCAGTACATGCATGGGGAACAAAAAATTGATAATAGGCTCTTCAGACTAGCAGGAAAAGGTATAACAAGATCCAGAGGCTGGAAATTGAAGCTAGACAAATTCAGATTAGAAACAAGATGCAATTTTTTTATCAGTGAGGATACTTAACCATTGGAACAATTGACAAAAGATTGTGACGGATTCTCCATCACGGGCCATTTTAAAATTAAGATTGGATTTTCTGTGGTTCAAACAGGAACTAACTCAGAGAAGTCCTGTGGCTTGTGTTACACAGGAGGTCAGACTAGATGATCACAATGGTCCCTTTTCGCCTTGGAATCTATGAATAGTTCATTAGCTGCATCCTTCAGAACATAGGGGGAATCCTGGTCCCACTGAAGTCAATGGAAGTTTTGCCAGTGACGTCAATGGGGTGAGAACTTCGCTCATACAGTTTCCTTCATAGGGAAGTTCCTATGCTAAAGTGCTTATACACAGAGAGTTTCCAAACTTTACAGGGGAAAGACGCCCTCACCTTCCAAGCGTAAATTCTGCAGGTTCCCCACAGCAGTGATTCCCAAATCCCTGATCATCTGAATGGATTTCATGTGCCCTGTTACATTTGGATAGGTACGGTTAGATATTGTATAAGGCCATACAGCTGCTTGGGAATTTTCCAGCAAAATAGTTTTTTGATAGAAAAATACTGAAATTTTCTGATTTTTCATTGGAAATATCAAAGCAAACGATTTCATTTTTAGTCAGCTCTACAATAAAGTGCATCTGCCTATGGTGCTATGGAGCCTCATGGGACATTTAGATCAGTATTTCAGGTCCCCATTCAATTTTATGAGCTGGGCACCCTGGCCAGACTACATCACCCATGATGCACCATAGTTTCCCCTCTGACTAAGCTGTGTGGTGCATCATGGGAATCACATTGGTTCAAGACACAGAAACAAAATACTGGAGTTCCCCACAGGATGGAAAGCCTGATTTTTGCTTAGCTTTATATGGCTATTAATACAGAGAACTCAGCAGAGAACAGATAACTCTCCCCCACCCTCCCTGTCAAATCAAAGATGGACAGTGGCAGAAAGAATTTAGAACACAAATATTGTGATGCCGATGGTACCTGCTGGGACGATGACTCTCCTCTCATTGGTGGTCATGTTTGGTGGAGGGCCATTCTTTTCATCCATGTAGGTGCTGTAACTCATCGGGTTGGACTCCGTCCCCGCACCCACCAGTTTGCTGCATTTGTTAACGCTGCAGTCTACCGGCGACTCCCTGAAACGGGAAAGGTTAGGGTTAGGGTGGAGTAGAAGGGGAGCAAGTTGTAGGTTAGAAACAGGGGGAGTGTCTAGAGGGTACCTTGCACTTCTGTATCGCCTGTCATGTGACAGTCCCAGGTAATCTACACACCAGAAACCTCACAGCAGGAGCATGTTAATTATTACTCTATTAATCTATTAAACAGAAGGATAAACTCATGCACACAGGTGAGCACCCCAAATTCCAGCTGACATCAGTGGCAGCTGCAGATGCTTAGCACCTTTGAAAAATCAAGCTCCAAGTGCCTTGCTCAAGATCGCATAATAAGTCAGTGGCAAAGTTGCGATCCCAATAGCCCGGACTCCCAGTCCTCTAGCCACTGGCCACGCTGCCTCCCTATGAAAGTCTTCCCCTCCTCCCTTCATGTGAAGCAGTGATCTCCAGCCAATGCCATATTGCATTACCCCTACTGGAGACAGCCTGCATTGCTTGATATCGCATTAGCCTCTGCAATAGACCAGATGCGACCTGGTGTTAGAAGCCCCCAATTGGTTCGTCTCACCCACAGTTGTGCGGTGTCATAACCTAGATGGTCAACTCGTGGGAGACAAGAACTGACTGTTGTTGGTTTGGTTGGTTTGGGGCTGTTTTTTTTACTGTGTGTCGGTCCAGCACCTAGCGCAAGGCTTTAACCTTTGACTAGTACCTGTAAGCACTACTGCAATATAAACAATAAGAAATACAGCACTCCCTCCCCATTTCGTTATTAAAGGCCACAGAATGTCCACACTGGAAACATGGAGCTACAGAATGCTCCCAGGAAGATAATAAAAATGTGATAATGATCATTTATATTATTGCAGTGCCTAGAGATTCGGGCCTCATTGTGTTAGGTGCTGTCCATGTAACCCACTGGGGAATGTGTGCTGCAGGTCCCCTTCTGTGCTGATCCGCAGAGGATATCTGTCCATTACAGCGCTGCCGTAGCTCATACTGTAGATTCCCCAGTTTAATTCTTGGTGCGTCAGGGATAGCAGCCACCACATATCTGCAGTAAGAGGCAGTCCCTGGCTGACAAGTTCACCATGTAAATAGAGAAGAGGGAGTTGCCATCAGTTTACAGATGGGAAATTGAGGCACGGTGAGATTAAGGCCCAAATTTTTAAAGGTATTTAGGCCCTGTGGTGCTCAGGGTTGCAGTGCCTACCTGATTTATGAACATAAGTCTCATTTTCAAAAAGAATTTAGGCACTTTAGAGCCAAAATCCCACTGACCGTCAATGACTTTTAGGGTTGCATAAATCACTATTGAGAATGAGACGGAGGCTCCTAAATCAGCAAGGGTTTGAAATGCTGAGCACAGCAATGCTTAAATACCTTTAGAAATCTGGGCTTCAGTGTGTGGCTGAAGCAAGGGTTGAACCTGGATCCCCGTCCAGTTATCATGTCTGGTCTAGATGCGATAAATCGATCCCCGAACGTGCTCCCCATTGACTCCGGAACTCCACCAGAGCGAGAGGCGGTAGCGAAGTCGACGGGGGAGCCGCGGCTGTCGATCCCGCGCCGTGAGAACCCGAGGTAAATCGATCTAAGATACTTCGACTTCGGCTATGCTATTCACGTAGCTGAAGTTGCGTATCTTAGATCGATCCCTGCCCCAGTGTAGACCAGCCCTTAGCTACATGACCACCCTGCCTCTTTGCCAATAGTGCAAAGAAACAAGCAAAGAAGTGCTTTGGGAGGAAGCTACTCACTGCAGGGTAAAGAACATGCCAGTGCATTCATCCCATCCTGGGAGCTAGTTGGGAAGATTTTCCAATATAGAACAGTAAATGAGTTTGTTTCTGAATCTAACAGAGGGTGGGGGAATTACTGAAGTTCAGTGATCGTGGCTGGGAGATAAATACTCCACTGAGAGAGTCTAAGGCAGATGGTAATTTTTTCCTCATGTCTTGCTGGGGGAATGTGGCTTGAAAATGGAAATAAGATGTATAACTTACACATGTTTGAGTTTAAGGTTTTACTATTTCGCCTACTGTTTTTCCAGGCAGAGAACCAAAATCCACCTTCGGAGAAGCAAACTGCTGAAGGTTTAATGTCCCATGGCAGCCGGAGCAGAGTTTGAGCAACTGCTGGGACGTCAGGCTTTTCAGAGGGTCCGAGCACTTCCCACTCGCTGCAGAAATGCTCGGTGTCAGGTGTTAAATGCTCCATGTACTGGGAGGAAGAACGGTCCTGTTTGGAGGAGACTAGGGGAAATAACAGCATCCATGCTTGAGCTTTAGGACTCAATCCTGTACAGCGCTCATGGTCTCTAGGAGCTGCCTGGCAGCCTCCACTCCCATCGGCTTCAGTGGTTGTTGAGGGGATTCCACTTCTCTCAGCAACTGGACCTTCCAGCTCAGACTTTAATGGCCCATTTGATGGGTCTGATCCAAACCCACAGATCTTCGCACTCCCAGATTTGAGGAGGTTTCGATGTCAGGTGAAATCCTGACTCTCATTGATTTCAGCAGAGTCAGGATTTCACCCCTGGGATCTACCTTACTTCTTACACTGTATCCATCACAGTGCAGTCTGGTTGGCCAGTATCCCTATAATGGACTGACCCAAACCCCACTGTTCTGTACTGCATTTCCCTTGGAAAACATTACTCTGACTTGAGCTTTTCTCTTGCAGATAATAGGGCAATAACATATACCTATGTGTGTGTTCATATCTCTCTCTCCCAGATTTGCTCCTGTGAATATCTCTCTCAGAATCCAATCCGCATTAGACATAAACACACCCAGGTGCTTTTTAATAGAGTAAACCAACACTCCTACTTATGCTATAAGCTCCATAGAGAAGGGAGGGTTTCTTTAGTCTCTCTGCAACATACCATGCATGGCAATGGTGTGTATACCAGTGTACCCATTAATAATGACAACAATGTTGTAAGATGGCTCCAAAGCATTTTCATTATGATTTTGCACCTGGCAAGCACAGACCTCTTCCCCAGCCAAAAGTCCAGCACTGGGGGGCATTGTTGGTAGAAGCTATGCATTTTCCCAAACTGGTATTTGGCAGGAGAATATAAACAACCCATCTTTTGAGAAAAATGCCATGAATGCTTTAATGATTATAAGTGGGCAGGACCTTACTTTAATCACCACTTGCTGCACAGTACCCCCGAACACCAGGCTGGACATTAGCAAAATGACTGACCCCAGCGCTCCCCAACCAAATCGCATTTGCAACACCTGGATTTCCCGTAAAGGTCTTCCTCCAAGTATAGTCCCAGTCTGGCCTTTTCTAGGACAGGGAATTTGAAAGGATCCCAGCAGAAGGTGGTGTAGCTGCAGGCTATACAAAGAGGAATGCAGTAGAATAACTACAGTGCAGGAGAGAAGCGGGAGAGCCGTTCACAGTGAATAGTTTATTCACCGATCACAGCCCCATCCTTCGTTCATTAATTACCCATCAGCAGATTTAGATTTTTTTTATCAATGTGTTCATAATTCAGAATTGTTTATGCGATTCTATTTCAGACACTGGGTTGCTCCTTGGTTATTCCAGGAGTGTGGGGCTTCAAGTTTTCCAGTGGCTACACAATCCGGAATGAACAGGTGTAGCTCAGCATCGGTCTGCTGAGGTCAGTGGAGCGAGGCCCATTTGTAGGATTTCTTTTATGGACACTCACTATGGAAGGAGGGAACCAAAGAGCACGGGGCTGTGCAGATCCCAACACCCTTCATCCCGACAGCAATGTTCGATTTCTGCACCTTCCAAGAG